GGTAAAAATCGAACAAAGACAGATATGAAAATGTTATAGTTTAAGGAGGCACAGGTTTAAGGTAAAAATCGAACAAAGACAGATATGAAAATGTTATAGTTTAAGGAGGCACAGGTTTAAGGTAAAAATCGAACAAAGACAGATATGAAAATGTTATAGTTTAAGGAAGCTCAGGTTTCATATAGAAATAGAACAAAGACAGAGATATCAAATAGTCATAATGTAAGGGGACATAAATTTCAGCTAAAAATGAAATCAACCCATACACTTAAGTGAAGATACAGAAAAAGACAGGATCCAAGAACCAGGTACAAACGTAGACCCACACTGAAACAGAAGACGTTCTATCAACTCCCCACCTACTTTCCAATTTGTTCGTGGACACAGGAAAGACTTCTTAATATTCAAAAATAATTTTTAGTACAATTCATTTCAAGCAAAGTCCACAGTGAACTGCAGGTGCTTAGGTCTTGTCCAGCCTCACCATAATACTTTGAGAAATACACGAGCACTGGTTTAGAGACAACTATTTTCTTCACTTCATTGTCTTCCAAGTTCAAGTGTCGAATCAGGAATGGACATCAGTGACCACAGTTGGACATCAGTGACCACAGTTCCGCACTCATTCCTCTGCTGTGGTGCTCTAAATAACCCAGCCCACGACCAAAAACCAACATTGTCTTGGTCTTTCTCTGTGGGCCACGGGTTCAAATTCTCCCCATAAATTAGTCCTGGTCTACCTTTGTCTCTTTTGCCATTTCTTTTCCAAGTGAGAGCAAGATGTATATGTATTTAAATACTCACAATTATAGACACCACCAGGACTATACAGGTACCCCCCCCCCCCCACACACACACATGTGACAGTACAGAGATGAGTCCAAGTGATTAAATTTTTTTTTGCGCGGCAGCACAGCGTTTAGATATACATGTACATGTGTGTGTGTGTGTGTATATATACTGTACAACCTGCATGTCACAAATGTTGCGTTAGTTATCAGTAAATCGTCGGTTATTTCTGAAAGCGAAAGTGGATCTTGATTTTCCCGATCGAGCCTCGGTGTCACACACACTTTCGCCTGCCGCCATAGCCGTCTTTTCGCGTCAAACGTACTCTCGGACGGGGAACAAAGGTGAACGAATAATATATCACAAGCGCGACCGGCAAAAACGGAGTCATGCACCACAGCTAGGGTTTACTGAAAAGTCTTGCTAGCTTCATCACTCAGTATGCAGGTTAATTTACGACCGTTTACCAAATGTTTACTACCTTCACGGCGCATTTACTACCATTTACGACCTTTACGGCCAGGGCATCGAATTTACGACTTTTTTACGACTTTACGACTTTGCTGGACACCCTGTATGCTGTATTTTAATTTCACAAAATAGACAGGGAGCAAATGAAAATTAGGAATTCAGAAATATAGTGGGAGAAATATATAACTTGCCCATACTGTTCCGCAGCAGAAACTGGCTTACTGGAAGCAGTATGCCTTTCCTAATATAGTTGGGTTTTTTCCAGATCGTTTTGTGAAGAAATTTGTATTTATGATATTTTCAAAAACATAATAATGTATGATATTTTTAGAGGGAGTACCAACAATTTTGTCAGATTGAATTTCTAAGGACCAGCCAAACGAAGTGTATTTTTTCAAATTCATGTTGTCTATATTTTTTTTTGAAGAGTCGAACATAAATTGGCAATCTGTAATAACATAACAAAAATAAAGAGAGCTCAAAAGTGATGAATTTTTAATTTGACCTTCTAAAATACCTGTTGTGGTTTCTTAGGAGACTACTAAGAGTATCGTGGAAGGAAAAGAAATCAAATGAGGTAGTGCTTGATGAAGCCCACGTGGGACGCTCAAAGTTAAAAACCACCAGGAAACGACAAATGCTGTTTTTGGGACACCTGAATAGACATAAGGGTCTTGAACATCTAGCTCTCACTGGCAAAATTGAGGGCAAGCGAGGCAGGGGAAGGCCCAGAACAACATACTTAGGGAACCTAAACAAATGGATAACAGGGAAAGATCAGGGAAACGTAGCTTTTTTGAGAGCATCCAAGCAAAGGAATGAATGGAAAACCATGATCGCCGATGTCTGTCGCAGATTTGGCACTGGATGATGATGATGATGATGATGGAGGATGATGGAGGATGATGATGATGATGATGATAATACCTGTAAAATTCCTCTCTGTCTCTTTCATCCAACTCGGATGTGATGTGCTGAAGAGTCCTTTCTATGCGTGGAATGATGACTGAAAAATGGGAGAAAAATTTGCAGTTTTTATCAAGAAAACAAAGCAAAAAAGAGACAGAATAACTTACGTCACACAAAATTATCAGTTTTACTTTATAACAAATGGCAATGGAGAACAAAAAGTTTTTAGTTAGTTTTAGTAGAGGTTTTATGGCACTCGCAACTGCATAAGGTCATATGAGTGCCAGAAGATTAGAGGTGTTACAAGAGAGTAACAAGCATAAAAAAGAAGAAGGGGAGATAAGGAGGATAGATGTTTGATAGGAAAGAAGAAGCAAACCACACCAGAGCACCCGCCAACCACCCACACAAAAAATTTACCAATATTAATACACAACAAAAAAGACTAAAACTACATTATATCCTTGTTTCATTCATGCCATTCTGCACATACAGTGGAGTCTGATTGCCAGATTTTGTTCATTTTAGCCAGGTTCTTGATTTAGAGAGATTGCCCGAACACGGTTAATTCGAAAACAGTGAGTACCGGTTACGGAGAGAATATAAAATCCTAGGTTTTTATTTTAAACAGTGAGTACCGCTAACGGAGAGAATATAAAATCCCAGGTTTTTATTCGAATATAAAATAAAAACCTAGGATTTTATATTCTCTCCGTTACCGG